ACTCTAAACAATTTGACATGACCCGCTTGTCACCAAACCTACTTATCACCGGCACACCCGGCACGGGGAAAACAGCTCTAGCCACGTTGGTGTCGGATCGTCTAAAGTTCAATTTTTTGAGTGTCAATGACGTTGCAAAAAATCACCAGCTCTACGATGGTTACGACGACAAAAATGATTGTCACATTCTGGATGAGGATGCTATCGTCGATAATTTGGAAGGCTTCATGGCTCGTGGTGGTCAAGTAACTTGTTTTTATTTCATCTAATGATGAGGTTGTCGAATACCATTCTTGTGATTTTTTCCCTGAGCGGTGGTTTGATGCTGTATTCGTTTTGCGCACAGACAACTCTATCCTTTATCCGCGACTCGCATCCCGAGGTTATTCGTCGGAGAAAATATCCGATCTGATACACTGTGAAATCGTTCAGGTAAGCTACTCTGTCTACAATGATTAGAAACTTTTTACTCCGATCTTTCATCCCGGTGCCCTTTCCTGCACCAACTAGTGGTGCAAAACTGCTGTTTTTAATTATAGCCTATCACTTNGAGGAATTCCACACCTGATTACAACTATCGAAAATTTCCGATAGAAGGAAGACTTAATCAAATCTTCCTCTACACCGGTCTCCATTCGAGTTTCCCAAGGCGCTGTTTGGAACCTACCGTCTGCTCTACGTCGACCACCTGCCAAGTGACCCTGCAAATACATGACAACGTTTAGCGAATGACCTGAGATCTTGGGGCTCCAAGGGTATCACCTTACTAATAGATGTGGAAGCTTCAGAGGAGTGGCAACTGACTGGCACCTTCCTTTGAATGAGGAAAAGTGTGTGCATACGTCGTTCGGAGGAGCCTCGGCGAACGTCTCTATCGTGCACATTGAGAATGGACTAGGGGGTGTTACCGAGAAATTACCTTGTTCTCATCAAACATGTCTTTCCCATTCCCGTGGAAAACCGGTTAAAAAGGCATTCATCGTTCCTCAAGTGGTCACGTGGACCTCCCCCGTCCTACCCAAATAGACCTCCAGATGCTCACTGGGGACCACGTCAAACCGCTTCTTGGATACGCAAACCAGTTTATCCGCTCAGGACGCAACAGGTCCGACCAAGATACATTCCATCTACTTGCAACGAGGCGATTTTCGCGCCAATCTGATAAAAGTGATGGCCTTTCGCCCGGCAGCACAGGTCTGTAAGCGTCAAAAACATACCGTGAAAGGTGATCGGACGCATCTTGAATCAACTCACTGCCAGCAACTTGATACCACGGCGCAAAACACATTACTCCCAAACCGTTCTTCGGTAACGAAGATTTTCGTAGCCGTAAACACCTTAATCCATAGCAATGATGCTGGTCTCATATCAAACGCCAAACTATTCTTGTTCCAAAGAACTTTCAATCTAGCCTCATGAGTTCCGCTGCTCCCCATATTTGATTCTTATCGGAGTGAATGAGGAATTCCACACCTGATTACAACTATCGAAAATTTCCGATAGAAGGAAGACTTAATCAAATCTTCCTCTACACCGGTCTCCATTCGAGTTTCCCAAGGCGCTGTTTGGAACCTACCGTCTGCTCTACGTCGACCACCTGCCAAGTGACCCTGCAAATACATGACAACGTTTAGCGAATGACCTGAGATCTTGGGGCTCCAAGGGTATCACCTTACTAATAGATGTGGAAGCTTCAGAGGAGTGGCAACTGACTGGCACCTTCCTTTGAATGAGGAAAAGTGTGTGCATACGTCGTTCGGAGGAGCCTCGGCGAACGTCTCTATCGTGCAGAGAAAGAATGGACTAGGGGGTGTTACCGAGAAATTACCTTGTTCTCATCAAACATGTCTTTCCCATTCCCGTGGAAAACCGGTTAAAAAGGCATTCATCGTTCCTCAAGTGGTCACGTGGACCTCCCCCGTCCTACCCAAATAGACCTCCAGATGCTCACTGGGGACCACGTCAAACCGCTTCTTGGATACGCAAGCCAGTTTATCCGCTCAGGACGCAACAGTAAGGAGCTGCTTCGAAGGTGGTTTTTGGCCTCAAATCTGTCGACTTCGAAACGCGTCTTGTGGTGATTGCGGTCTCTCCTGAAAGGACATTGTTTGCACAATGCTTGGTAGATAGGGCTTCACCGTTAACCGGACTAATACCCGGAAAACCCTGGTAAGATTTTCAAACTCAGGGCGTACACTTTTATCAGGAAACAATTTTTTACCATTTCAGGTATTTCGTAAGGTATTTATTACTTCTCTACTACCGCCCATATCGCATCCACACCCTAGTTTACAGCAATTACGGATGCTTTTCATGTGAGTCCTTGTGCTGACAAAAATACTACCCATTGGCGGAAACTTTTTGCGCCTTTCAGGTGTGGTGTTTGGTACCTTTATTTTGCTTCCATCATAACAGTACGTATTTTGCCAATTGCATAACCGTTTTTATTTGAACACGAAAAACCACAAAAAAGCTCACTTGTACAATTTCACGCAATATAAACGTGGTCACATGTTCCGACTCTCTTTTGATTTCACTCGCGCCCATAGCAGGCCTTCGCGACTCTTATGTGCTAACTCTGGTATCGAAACATTTCAGACTATCTTCGGAATTTATTGTGTGGGAACTGTTCAGAAGAAGACCCCTGGACAACCATGATCGGATTATTGTCTATTCGCTGACCTGGGCCAGCGACGAACTATTTTAAAGAGAAAAATCATTAGTAAATCTGTTCCATCTGGCGTCTTAATTAATGTATACTCAATCTAGCTTTATTATTTCCATTTCTTTACCGCACGACCCTGGTAAAGTAGCTCATTGGGTATTCAGACCACCACACAGGTGGACGGATGTCACCAGAGAAAAAATGCAAACGCCACTCATGAAGCTTTGTTGAGTCGTAATCCTGTGTATCATTCCGGGAATCTCTTGATGCAGAGCCGAGCTGACCAGCAACCTGAGTGCCAACTTGGGGCTTTGAAGGGCGTCCACAATCCGCAGCGGTTCCAAGGGGAGTTACTTTCCCTTGACTGGTCGATAAAACTGAATGGGCCCTGTTGGCAAAAGCGCTCATGACTTTCCGGGGCTCGTTTCCCGCCGGGGCACGCGGTCTTCTCGTGAGCGCTTGGCCACATGGCGTTTGAGGAATCAGAGTGCGCTGCTGTACGCCCTGTTTTCAGGGATAGATTTCGTGAATTCATTCAGGACAAAGGAGTTCCACCCCGTCCGGGGGTCGTTTGACCTAATCGAAATAGTCAGGGGGCAGATTTGAAAGCTGATGTTATTGCCCTTCTTTTTGCACTTGTCAAAACAACTGACCTATCGCCTACCTATTTCGCTTCCTAATAACCCATAGATTATGTCACCTCGTTCGACAGTGGAAACTTTGCAATAAATTACTCAACTCAGGGAGTACGGCTAACCCCGTTCCTTTCTTTTCCTTACAAGTTAGTTAGTCCTGTTCACAGCGCAAATGAGCTGGCCGAGCTGGATGCCGCTGGGCCGTGGCGTTCTCCTAAAGTCCTGGATTATCGAGCTTTTTCTGACTTGCGGGAGTCCAAATGAAAGCGAATTTTCGGATGTGTTCACACTACAGCGTGATCAGAATCAAGAAGAGTGCTTCAGCACAGGCAGCAGTAGTAATTTGTGGCTTCCCAACGATGGGCGAGGGCCACGCGATCCTATTGTGTTCAAGGTTGATCTGCACTTGCTGACCACCAGGTTACACGTTGTGAAGGTTCGTTTTGGAAATGATCAGCGGCCAGAAATAGCTGGGGTTCAGAAAGCACAATCAGGAAGCGTGTCTATTTGAGCGGTGAGTATCGACTTTAAAGACAAGACCAGCCCGGATTCCAAGAAGTTGGGACGGCTATCCTGGGTTTTCATATCACTCGCAGCGGCGCCAATGTCACAGTGTCTCGCCGGAAGAATCACTAAACTTGCATTTTGTTAGAAAAGGTTTCCTTCAGAATCAGAATTTTTGGATTGTACGCTGATACATTAGACACGCGCCGGTTTTTATGCCGAGATGCGCTGAGTTTAACTAAACTGGATAATCAAACGTTTTAAAGACGACAGTTAAGCGGAATGCAACACAGAAAGGCGTAACTCACACACGGACAGGGGCTTAGGGCTGGACACGCATGCGTAATTTGTCAGTTAAACCTAAAGGGCTAATGAAAGCTTTAATTAAAAGCTCTAATGGAGGCTTTTATGTAGAAGAGCAGTTATGAACTTGTAGGTGTGATTTTTTTGGGTTAGATGAGATTGAGCAGTCAAACACCCAATGGTCCGACGACACATGTTCGCGAAATCGTAAGTACTTGAAAACGTACGCTGCGACGCGAAGAACCGCAACAGATAGATCAAGCAAATGTGCTTAGTTGAAGGACACTGCCTTCAGCATGGAATCAATTAACTGGCTCATGGGCCAGTCGGAGTAGAAGGGTTCGTGTTTGGAGACCTTCTCTTGCATATGGGTGGTGGAAGCGTTAAGCTGACACGCTTTTGGTAGATGGTCATCACACTAGCCGAGGGAAACCCGAGGTCTGAGGCACTAAACGGTCACCAAAATATAAAAGGACTGATTACGACACAGATGTCAGGTTCAACCCATGGACCTTTTGGTGAGTGGTTCATATGCTACCTTCTGCGGTATCCTCTCACTCTGACCCAAATGCTTGTGCTACTTTAAGTCAAAAATTATTAGCAGCTACAACCGGTTTTAGTTCAAGGAATTGTGTCTTGCTTGTTACGATGATTTTGTGTGTTATTTACCACAAATTCACAAATTCTCACAAAGACGTACATGCATCTTTTCGATGCCGTCTGATAATTGGCTTGTTGTCCACCATACCATGATCGTCGTGGGCTGATCGTAGCTTACTCAGCAAGCTACCCACAACACCGGCAGAAACGACCTGGTTCCTCTATGCGAACTACTTTAAAACGCTATTCTCCATGCTCTTTCATAAGTAGTGCTCCACTTCGTGTCCATACACCGAATTTTCAGTTGTCCCGCCGACATGAGCTGACTTTTCCCACCAAGCCGCCCCCTGGCAATGGGCCATAATCTAAATCGGGGTACAAATTGGTATACTCCTCGAAGCATTTGAACAAGAGGTTTGCGCTTTTATGCATTCGATTGAAGATTTTAGCCTAGTGGCACTCCGTGCATTAGGATTCTAAGCTTTCAGCAATTTGATAACCAAAATGGTTTCCAAGTAGCTAAAAATAACTTCTTCTGGGCATTCGTTTCACTGTAAGGCAGTCAACACATGGTCACATGATGTGGTTTCTGTTACTAAAGGCAAGATAACGTTATATCCTGTCGAAGAATGAGGTTTGTACACTGCCGTCTGGCCGTCCGTGGCCAGGCGGCTTAGTCCTGAGACCTACTGACCGATTGTTCGCAGGTTGGGATCTCCATAAATTTTCATGAGATGTGAACTGCTGATCATTGTATGTAGAGATGTACCAGCTGCATTATGTTTCTTCGCTTTCCATCGTTAGTAAGCATTACTTACAGGACAAAGTCTCGATTAAAAATAGCCCACATCACCATCGTTTCGTTTAATTCCTGAACGGTAGGTTTTTTGAAACCAAGCCAATGGACATCATCAGAGGCCTAAGGCTATTAGAAGGCTGCTCGAATTTAGTGTTCCTCCTACGTGGCTGTTGTGGGTTGGTCGTTTATGTAGAAAAGACGAGGTGCAATATATACAATACAAAACAGTAACAAACAGTGTGTCCGAGAAAATTCACGCGTTGATGCAAGGTGTAGGATGTCAAAATGCAGATGTGCTGTTGTAATAATGGCACGCAACCGGACGGACTGGCAAAGATAGTACGTACAGTGTTTAGCGTGATGCACTACTCGTGTGTTATGGAAATTTTTCGATAGCCAAGAATAGGTTTCTCCCCTCTCTGTATTGTCCAATAGACGTAATCCCGAGTTTCCTTAAATCTTAGGTTCTACTTGACCCAGAATTGCACGGGATCCCCGTATGCGCTCATTTTCACAACAGATGTGGTTTGACTAGAAGCTCACCCGAAATCCAGCTAGGGCTCTCGTTTACGATGCCCTTTTCAAACGGATGTGCGTCATAAACGAAAGATGCAACTGGTTTCTAGACAGGTCTCCCGTCAGAACTAAAGTGATATAAAACCTAGCTTACGCGCATAGTACGTACGAATTTAAGTCAGGTCTGAGGTGGGACGGGAGGCAGTGAATGTCATTGAAATGCTGACTAGACGATACACGGAATCAAAATCTTTGGAGCTGAAGTTGGACAATCAAGGGAAAACGATGAAATGCCTAGTGTTAGAGATGTCAGTGAGATAGCCACTGAGCGGGACTGTCTTTGGGGACGTTTGAAATTCTTGGTATGAGAGGTAGAGTAAGTAGGATGGGAGTAAACAAGAGCCAAGTAGACCAGATCGCACACCTAGTGAAGATACGCGGCCTTCGGCGCAGTTTCATCTGAGTGCTAGAGGTGTGGTTGTTATGAGAGTCGTGGTGAAGTTGTGAAGAAAAGAGCGTAGAGCTACTTAGATAATGAATACAGATATCAGGAATGCAGAAAGTGGCTACTCAAGGCACAACAAACCAACTTTGTAAAGGAAACACAAAAATAAGGTTAACGTTTTACGGAGCCTTATACACTCCACATGGGCTCAAGACAAACAGAGAAGAAAATATGTGGACCCCACTATGGATGATCGATACAATAGGCAACTTTGTTTAAAGTGGCACCAATGACAGCCAGTCTCTGGAAGACAAGGAAGAGAGAATCGAATGCGCCACACTTGAACGCTGGATGATATTCCTTGTAGAGGCTCCTAAATTCAGACGTTCTGGACAAATTTGTATGCCTAGAAAAAATAAGAGCTACGATGAAAAGTACTCCGGTTTTGCAGCGTTCCATCCGGTAACAAAACAATTTTTATGATCTTACGGCTGATGAATGAGATGGACTGTCCTTTGGAGCTGCGACGCTGCATTCAGGACCTAGTTCAAAGAGCCTTCATATCCTTTTTTGTGAGCTCCCAGGCTATCATCTTTACTACCCAAGCTAAGATCTTAAAAGGTGATGCTTAGTTTTTTTCACTTATGCGCTTCATGTGAACCGAGCCCACTGAACGAACCAGTACAACATGGGTGCAGTCAGTATGGTATTACATCCAGTGACCTTGTAGTGTGATGGCCAATCATCGAATTGATTTGTTAGTTGACTAGTTTGGTTCTGGGTATGCAACCCGTCGGTAATCTGAGTCAGCAAGCAGCAACAAATTTGCAGAAGCAGGCGGTCATTACACTTCAGGATATTGAAGATCTTGTTAAGCGTATTTTAAGCGTGTCAGGAGTTTCTGAATGTTTGTCAAAATCAATCCAACTAACTATTGATCAAGACCGTATTCTTTCTTCAACTGCGGATCGTCTGAAGTCGCTCTCAAGTATAACGGAGAGTTTAGCTGATCAGGTGCATTTACTTGAAACAAGAATAGACCTGCTCACTTGATCGTTTAATCGGAACAGGCCACCGCTTGGCGCGCTCCAAGCATCCTGTAATAGAGTTCTTGTTAAACGCTGCTGAGAAGTGGCTCCCAATCAGACTCTAAACAATTTGACATGACCCGCTTGTCACCAAACCTACTTATCACCGGCACACCCGGCACGGGGAAAACAGCTCTAGCCACGTTGGTGTCGGATCGTCTAAAGTTCAATTTTTTGAGTGTCAATGACGTTGCAAAAAATCCCCAGCTCTACGATGGTTACGACGACAAAAACGATTGTCACATTCTGGATGAGGATGCTATCGTAGATAATTTGGAAGGCTTCATGGCTCGTGGTGGTCAAGTAACTTGTTTTTATTTCATCTAATGATGAGGTTGTCGAATACCATTCTTGTGATTTTTTCCCTGAGCGGTGGTTTGATGCTGTATTCGTTTTGCGCACAGACAACTCTATTCTTTATCCGCGACTCGCATCCCGGGGTTATTCGTCGGAGAAAATATCCGATCTGATACACTGTGAAATCGTTCAGGTAAGCTACTCCGTCTACAATGATTAGAAACTATTTACTCATATCTTTCATCCTGGTGCCCTTTCCTGCACCAACTAGTGGTGCAAAACTGCTGTTTTTAATTATAGCCTATCACTTCACCCGGCAACGCAGTGCCGGTGTTCAGCACAGATGTCATGGTCTTGATGATAATGATAATGACTATCACTTCTGCTTTACCTGATTACTTGGTTTGGAGGCTTTATAATGTACACTTGACTCTTGCACAGCATAGCGACCATTCGCACCGTATCTTCTGTGGTCCGTTGAAGTGTGCCATGTTGGTAACTCCAGAATACTGCCATTGGTAACAGTGTCAATGTGTAACTATGTATTCTAGGAGGTGTTTCTGAACAAAGCTTTGTCTGGAATCAAACAAGCTGCACCGCAACGCAGTCCTAAAGACCCACCAAAGCTATTGAATGCGAAGTCCGACGGGATCATCATCATTGTCAATTGTGAGAACCGCATACTTGTCGCACAGTGGTTATAGCTGCCTCGGTTTCGTTCACCAACTGTTTGTGGAGGTGGGGTTGGGTAGCTTTGCATTGGGGGCGGGAGATGATATAATTGCTGCGTAAATACAGTAGACTTCTAAGTGGGGAGATTGGGTAGGAAGCTGTTTCCTGAAGGCAATAGGTTGGATGCGCGATCGCCATTGAGGGCGCGACAGGCCCATATCTGACAATGTCCCTAGCCATTAATGTGTCTGGTATCGGAGTCCCCATCTAGGGAGACGGCAGTAGCAGGGTAGCTGAGTTTGCTAATAGTGGCTTTCATAATTCGCTGTTTAACCTTCCCTGGCTGATTTTCACCCTTTGCATGGTCGTGCGAAAGGAAACCTTCAAGGAAATCGATCGACTGGCATACGGTGCATGCGACCATGCCAGAGCGACTCATGCAGTGTGATCAGTTCATCTATCATACTTGGTTTATTTCTTCCGAATATCATTTGAAATACTTCAGTGTTCCTGATTCTGTGTTCCCACCAGACTCGGCTAATAACCCGATGACATCGATGACCATAACTGAGAGTATTTTTACGTCCTCAGCACGCGGCGGCCTGGTTTCTGATCCGTATAGTAATATGGAGCGCACCGCAGCATTGTAAACTCAACCCTTGACGGATAAGCTAATGTCACGCCTAGGCTGCAGGTGATGCAGGTTCACAAGAGCTGCTCTGGCCTTCCTAACCCGGCTGAAAACATCATCTTTTGCGAGATCACCAGGACTGATAAAGCTACCTCGGTGTACTACCCTAATCGACTCGACCGCAGACATGAGCTTAGGTTTCAACACCACCCAGTCTGGCAGTAGCACCTTGCACTTTGCAGGTGTGAAGAGCATGACAAGCCGTGCGGCCGAATTGCTTAGATTACTTAATATTGTTTGCATTACGACTGCGTCAGATCCATGGAGAGCTATGTCGTCTTGGTATTCGATGTCTTTAAGCAGATACCCCGGGAGCACCTCGACCCCACGGCCATTAGATGCTGAAAGTGAGTCTTCCATAATCTTATCAATGACGGAGCGAGATGGCTCAGTGGAGCGCGAATTTACTGACTGGGAGGTCCGTGGTTCGAACCCGATTTATGTCCCTCAACTTCTCTGTTTAGGTTTGGGCAACCTGACAGTATCCAAACCCTCGTGCTTCCTTCGGGTGGCATGGCAGCCAGGCACAGAATGGGTGTTACAGTTGAATGTATCAGTGATGAAGTTGAAGAGGAAATGTCGAGCAGAATAGGCATGCTTTGGGTGGCATGGCAGCCAGGCACCGAATGTGTGTTACAGTTGAATGTATCAATGACGAAGTTGAAGAGGAAATGTCGAGCAGGATAGCCTGGCATGATACCAATTGATGTGGTCTCTCAGGCGGGAGCTTTCCGTAGACGTTCACACGCCTGCGCGGGTTTCGCCTTAAAGGCGTCAAGAATTTTGGGGGACACCCTTGTTTCATAGACACCTCCAGAGTGTCTGGAAGTCCACAGAGTTGAAGACAGCTTAGCAATCAAGGGAGACAACCACTGCTGGGCTTTGAAAGCAGTGTCACTGTTCCAGAATCTGTCAGGGAGTGGTGCATCCCCTTGCAGGACGGAGCGTAGCTTTGTTTTCACGGATCTCTCTTTCTACTCAGTAAGCCTTAGAAGGATGAGGCCAGAGAGAACCTTCGATGCCACAGCTACCAGGCCAATGTCACGGTGGTTTCACACAGCGTCCGCATAGTCTTGAAGATAGGAATAACTGTCGACATGCCCCACTTTGCAGACACTTTTACTCCACCCCACATCTCACCAATAAGCGAGATGGCCCAAGTGGTTAGAGCGCGAATTTACTGACCGGAAGGTTCGTGGTTCGAATCCGACCTCCGCCACTGGACTTCCCCTGTCTAGGCTTGGGCAACCTGGCAGTATCCCAGCCCTCGTGCTTCCTTCGGGTGGCATGGCAGCTAGGCACCGGAACGTTAGACAGCTGAACGCTTTCTTTCTCACCAATAAGCTTTTTTTGAAGAGGACTGTATACAGACTGTCTTGTTCCGGTGCGTTCTCACGTTTAAGCACTGATATTTCTTACTTTGGCTCTTTTTTATAACGGGCAATTTAGGTTTACATTCCATTCGTCCGCACGAACCATATCCAGAGGCTGTGTTGCAAGAAGTCAGTTAAACTTTTTCGAAATTTTCGACCCATCTTTCCAGTCGACGTTTTTGCAAGTGAATTAATGGACCGTTTTCTTCGTTTATCGTTTCACTGACCGGTACTTCCTTATGTCCACTTGATCGTATCACTTAGTAAAGGACACAACTCTTTCTTATAGCCCATGCCTTCCCTATCGCCCAAGCTTTCGATCTCCATCAGAATTCTTGGTCTTTCCTTAGGCTCTTCACTAATTGGCGTTTGAGGGGATTGCGTGCGCTGCCGTACTCCTTGCCTGTTGGTATGGGTATCCTGATATCATTCATAGATAGTGATCTTGATGACATCCACTGGTCCTCTTGTCGAATCGGAGAAGTCGGACATACAACACGCCACCGCTAGCATAGCTCCTTTCACATTTTGTCCACGTGCTCACCACCGGACAGTATTGATTTACTGTGGGGAGCTGTTGGACTAGCTCATATCGATACTGTTGAGCTGTAACAGTTCTTTGAAGATGGTGAATTGCTGTGCCTCTTGCTAACTTGCTAGGGTCAAAGGGGAAACGAGCTGTTGGGCGTGCACGCACCATGGCATGATCCGAATCGAGTTATGTGCCCCAAAAGGAACGGCGGTCTTGAATTGTAGCTCTCCACCAGCGGCTGATAGCCACGTGGTCCAACTGGGTTCACGATTGATTTGCAGTTGGTGGCCGCCAGGTTACGGGATGCGAACGTTTATGCTTAAAGTCCGTACTTGCCAGAAACAGTTCATGGTCAGCACACAACTAGAGGAGTCGCTCTTCGCTATCTGTGCAACGAACATCCACTCCGATTGGATGACCGACTTGGGCATTCCTGTCGCCCGCAAGGATCACACTGTTAGTGCCTCTTGCTTGATGACTGAGTTTGGATAACTCTCGATAGAAATTATCATTCTCAGAAACAGAACTGCAGTCCGTTGGGACATAAACCGATACTACAAGTAGACACTGCTTTTTATGTTGAGAGGCATTGAGCTTGATTAAGTTGGATAACCGGACGGCGCGAAGACGACTATTCACTGGGATCCAGTTCAACAGAGCATGTTTAACTCGGGCTGATTGCAACCCTACGAGTCATTGTTTGTAGATCACCGGACACACGGAGAGCAAAATGTGGAGGGGCTGAGTTTGTCGTGAGCGTTTTAAGATGCATTACCATGTTTGGATCTTGTATGCGGGTTTCGGAGGCTCAGCCTACATCAATTTTAAGGAAGTATAGGTGAGCACTGCCTGTTTGACACTTCGACATAGAGTACGGACGTTAAAATCTCCTACGTAGAAAGGATTTTGTGGATGTATCAAGGTGTTTTGTTTATTGTCAATAGGCAGCCGGATGCCTAATATCCATGGGTGAGATAGCTGGCAGTCAAATGACCCAGCAACGTCTGTTTGTGTGGTGGGAATAGGTTGGGGAGGAACATAGGTGGACACAATTGTGTGGGCAAATGGTAATTCCCGGTTGGCCAGGCCGAGGGAGGGAATTTGGTTGAGGTAACCCACCTTGAGCTTTTGACTCAAAAGTCTGACTCACGAGGCGGTGGAAGGATGTAAGGTTTTCTTTGGGGACCCTGCCCGGTTGTATGGGGTCAGCCTAACCTGAGGGCGCAGGAAGTAAGGTATTACTGTCTCACTCTTGATGTGGCTGCACACAGCTGACACTTTTTTAGCAGCATCAGGCTATTTGGTTTTAAAAACATCTCGACCGCATCGGATAATGTGCCGGCGGTCACAGTCAATCGTTGGGTGATTGGAGTGTGCGGTTTTTAGGTCCAAACTTCTCTAACCCGTCCTTTTTCGGGGGAAGGCAGCATCGCTGCTTCCATGAATATGGACATGCTGGTCACTGGGCGGAAACATCTTGCTGCCTCCGCACTCCTGTCGCAGAGGACAGTCCGACTTTACCCCCAGACCATCTCGTAACAGGAATACTCTCGCTGGTATTGATCTGACTGAGGGAATGGCAGTTGCGTCAAAATAAACGTAATAAGCATAATAAAATAAACGTAATAACCGCGGGCGAGGCTTTCTGGCATTATTTTGCGCAGGTTTGTCACGTATCAGGAACGGCGGATTCGTGAGAGTCACGCCGTGTTTCGTCGTGGCTGAGGATGCATCAATCATACTTCTACCTTGAGGCAGGTTCTCGAACAGTGTCACTCAGACGTTCAACTGAGGTCTTTTTTCCCAATGTGCAATTCATGGTTGTACGTGGGCTGGGATACTGCCAGGGCGCCCACACCTAGAGAGGAGGACGATTAGGGTCCTCAACCGAAGCCTTTGGCTCAAAAGCCTAACCGCAAGGCAGC